AAGAGCATTCTAGCCCAAAAATTGGATTTAAAAAAATCAAAAACCACAGGTCCCACAAATAATGTTTTTTAAAAATATTTTTTTTACAGTCTCCTTAGGGGTTACTCATTAAAGTAAAACCCTTTGGACGAAAATTTTCTCCGTTTTGCTCTAGCTCAAACCGTTGAGGCGCTAGAGGGTGTTTTTGACGAAAATAAGCGAAAAAGTGTACAACCATGCATTTTTAGTCAAAGTGACGGGCCGTTGACGGGCCGCAGGCCCGTATCTATGTGTGCATTTTTGCACTACCCGACTCGGGTTTCAGCGCCGCAAGCCTAGGTAGATGTATGCCAGGCGCGTCGCAGCGTAACAGTGTTTCGTGAGATATCGCGAGGCCTGTTACGCGAGACGTGGTCTGGCGTACATCTACCTAGTTTTAATGTTTCGTAACGGGTAACTCATCAAAGTAGAGCCCTTTGGGCGAAAATTTCGTCTGTTTGGCTCTATCTCGAACCGTTGAGGCGCCAGACACTTTTTCACACGGAAATGACCCCAAACCATTTCTATGTTTTTCTCAAATATTTCATAGTCTCTGAAGGGCCAACTCGTCAAAATCAAACCCTGGGGAGCAATAGTTGTGACTTTTGGGGCTGAAGGCCTATTTACGACTCTTTCTTTGGCCCGACTCGGGTGTAAGCGCCGCAGGCCTAGGTAGATGTATGCCAAGCGCGTCGCAGCGTAACAGTGTTTCGTGAGATATCGCGAAGCCTGTTACGCGAGACGTGGTCTGGCGTACATCTACCTAGTAGTGTTTTCCAGGCGCCATTTTGGATGAAAACTCCTGGAAACATTTTTGGCTGAGCGATAGCGAAGCCTATTACTCCAGGGATCATCAAAAAGTTTCGCGTCTGTCTGTGTGTGTGTCTGTCATCACGATAACTCGAGAACGAATTGAGCTAGCGACCTGGAATTTTCAGGGTCGTTTTGTATCATAAAAAGACAGATCAAGTTCGAAGTGGAGCATTCTAGCTCAAAAATTGGATTTAAAAAAAATTAAAAACCGCAGATCCCCAAAATGACGTTTTTTAAAAATATTTTTTTAATGTTTCCTAAGGGGTAACTCATCAAAGTAGAGTCCTATAGGCGAAAATTTCGTCCGTTTGGCTCATCTCGACGCCGAGATCACGGCGCTGGACACTGTTTTCCACACGGAAATGACCCCAAACCATTTCAATGGTTTTTCTTAAATATTTCATGGTCTCTGAAGGGTCAACTCGTCAAACTAAAACCCTGGGGAGCAATAATTGTGACTTTTGGGGCCGAAGGCCTATGTACGACTCTTTCTTTTGCCCGACTCGGGTGTCAGCGCCGCAG